CAGCGTAAAACACGGGCATTTACATATATATGTTAAGGCCTATACAGACCTGTCACATATCCCTTTTTTTCTCCCCAAATCTGAAGCATCCCGATTTTGATTGCGTGCCTTGTCCCCCATCTGTTGTGCCGGGGTTATGTAAAAACTTACTCTGCCTTCATTTATTTATTGACACTCGTGGACAATTTTTAAGTCAGCTTGGCAGTCATCCTGGTGATTTGTCGTTGATCCCGATTTTAATTCTTTTTTTTTTTAGATTTCACAGAATGAAAAAGAAAAAAAAACAAACGAAAACGTACGTAATCGAGCTGACGGAAAACCTTAACGTTGCTGCGCTCACCAACTCTCAAATGGAACGTAGCATCCAAAGTTTTGATCACGTGATTGGTTTTGCTTCTTTTGGGGGGGTGGGAGGGTACATCGTTGTTGTTAGTTAGTCGTACAGAGACAGCGTGCAAGTTCTGCATGCCGTGTTGTTCATTTGGTCCGCCAGGTCAATTTAATCATGTGTGATATTGCGGAAATGCTCATTGACACACCATTCTGTTCTATGTAGATTGTGCTATTTTGTTTCTAGGGTTCACATTGTGTTCATTCGCAAACGAATAGTAGTTGAGATACCGATAAGCGGTTGTGAGATCACTGGGTCATAGTTGTGCAAGGCTGTGCGTGCTGCCATCCACGCAACTTCACTCTCTGACACCCCTGATATTTGTGTGTGTGTGTGTGTATTCGTGTGTTTGTGTGTGTATGTGTGTTAGTGCTAGTGTAACTAAGTATTTTTTAAAAGTCCGCTGTGTGTGTATGTGTGTGTTTGTGTGCTCGCGCGCGTGCTTGTGTATGTGTAACCGAGAGTGATAGAAGGAGGTGGAGAGACAGACAGACAGAAAATGTTATGTATTTTTCTACAAACCTTTTATGTGGACAGATAGTGTCGATGCAGGTATTTTGAGTCCCGGGGGTGAGATGTTGTGAGTGATTGGTGGCTTTGTGTAATGTGACATGCTTAAGGCTCAAGGGCAGAAGGTCCATGCGGGGATTGGCTGTGTAGATGGATTGCCTGGTTAGGGGGGAGTGGAGGGGACGGGGGTAGAGTGTGGGATTGTCTTTGTGTCCTGTGGCTCAGTGTGTATTTGTCGGGTTTATGGGTGTGTGCGTGTGTGTGTGTGTGTGTTTGTGCGCACGTGCGAGCGTGTTTGCATTGGTAGAGGAAAGGAGATAAGTGGGGAGAAAAAGGTAGAGG